ACGACAAAAATAAAAAATAAAATTTGAAAATTTGCAAATGCCCATTGTTTAAATTTTCAAATAGAAACAGATGTCAAAAGGCACATCAATAGGTTTTTTTTTATTCTGAACAACTTTGTAATTTACAATTACCTTGTATCTCTTTTAGTTTTTGTGTAAATAACAAAAACCCTAATTTTCCTATATCAAATGCATGCTATTTGGGTTTAATACTAAATTTTAAAAATATTTTTACGTTATTCATTGGGGTCGATTTAGTAGAAAATCATTTTATTTCATCCTTGTAGGTTAAGCCGTTTTTCCATAATGAATTTGAGACACCTCTCGTAGGACACCCTGCGTATAGGTACCGTAGGTTCAAAATATATGTTGCAATCTTTGTAAGAAGCTTTAAGTTTTTCTTATCTTTTGAGATCTTTTTAGACAAAAAATCAGTTGACATTATTTGTATACATTTGTTGAACTATTTTTATGAACGAATGCCTACAGCCTCTGCCTATTTTTCACAAAATGTTCATATCCGAAGTAAGTAAAATCTCAAGTAAAATTAATAATACTACATAAGGGTTTTGTAATTCTACATTTGACAACTCACACTTAACCTTGTTGTAAACTTAACTTTAAAAGCTGTTTAAATAGTGGAACAAACTGCAGGTGATCTGATAATGTTAGCAATGTACCGGTAAACATAGTTTGTTCGGATTTAGTTGGCATTAGTAAAACACTCATTGCGCCATATTCAATGTCATGGACAACACAGAAGAGTAGTAGAAGTCTGTTCATCAAAGACTTCTGACATTGACAGATGTTGGCCTCATGATGCCGACTGATGATAAGATGACTCTTTAAATCTTATACTGTAACATTAGAGTCATCATTATCAATCATGTCGTTCCTGCTTAAAAAATGTAGAATTAAATAACTATTTTCAGAGTATATATGGTTGCAGATAGGCCTACTTGTAGAAAATGTTGAGTTATAATCTTTAAATATATACATCTGAAACCTTTGACTATATGTATTCAATAATCAAAGCTGAAACATACCTATGTGTTAAAAGCATTTTACCTACGACCGTTTTTTAAAGTAGACATTTCAGTTCAGTTCTTAGAATTGAAAAGTTTCACTTAACAGCTGTTTACTTTTACATCAGCATAGTTTCATTTAATAACAGCACAGTTTTTTTCATAACAACACGGGTAACGGACCAATGAGGTTCAAGAATTGAGGGAAAAGAAGTAAAATTGTAATACTTCGAACGTCAACTAATCAGCTGATCAGTTGACAATTTTAATTGTTGATCTTACTTGTTCCTGTTGATACTCGCGTATTCTTAACCTAAGTTGGTGGAAGTTAAAGGAAGGTAGATTAAACTGTTTTAAAAATGTCAGTTAGTGAAAGAGAAGTTGACGAGATGGAAATGAGAGCACAAACTGCGTATAATATTCTATAATATTCTATGCTGAGATCTAACTGTAAATTAACTCTTTCACTATAATCATTCAGTTGTAAAAAAAAAAAAAATAAATGCAATATTTCCCTAATTGTACCTGATACAGTATTTATGGTAAGAATGCTGCTAGCAGAACCTATTCCCTGAAAAAGGTAACTTATTATTCAACGAAGTTTTACAAACACGTAATTACATGAAATCAGCTGATTATACAATAAGTCGTTGCATCACTTTCAGTGGCACTGACAATAAACGAAAACATAATCTCTCTAAAGAAGTTATGAGTAGTGATTGTTAAGCCGCCCCGTTCACACGGGGCGAGTTTACAGGTGTCCTACTATCTGCCACCAGTGTCGTTTGCCACCAGTGTCATTTGCCACCAGTAGGGTCAGTTCCTGGAATTCCCGCCCCGGAATTCCCACCGTGACCGTTCCTATGTGTCACAACTATGTAGTTGTACTTAAATATTTTTGTATATTGAATAAATGTTTATAACTACAGTTACAACTGTGAATTGTAAAAATTAATTTTACCATCATGTTCGGCAAAAGAAAACACATTTTGAGTCTAAACTCACATAATCGCAACTTAAACAGTATAGGAATATCCATGTTAAAGTATTTTAAACTATTTGAACTATTTAAAGCGTTTTCAGTTTATTTATTTCTATAAAGCTACGTAAAGGAGTTACAGCGTGTTAAATTTAGGGGAAAGTAGCTTTTTGTTAAATTCAGCATGATATAGCTCATAAACGAGTAAGTTTGGAGAAAAAATGCAAATAATAAATTATAAATGTCTTGAAATTGCATCTAAATTCTAAAAATATAATAAAATATAAATATAAATATTGAATAATATATAAATATATATAGGATATATTAGGCCTATTTAAATTATTCCAAATTTCTCTATAGACCTTCGAGCTAAACAAATAATTTAGTATGTCAAAGTGTTTTTGTACGATTATTGGTTACGGAGAAAACTCAAAAAAATTTTAATTATAAATTCCCATGTGTATGGAGAGTATTGTAAAATGTTGTAGTTTCCTAGTTTATGGATATATTTTGATCAAACTTGGCTAATTAATTGTTTTTATACTAAGCTATAATTATTTTACTTAAAACACACTTTTTTAGTTTCCTTGTAGCAGCAAACCTAGGTACTCGTTAAACCTAAATGTTATAAATAGATTAATTGAAAATCAATTCAGGCAAATGAAAGTTCGCTTAGACGGTAGGTTTGGTGCGGCGGAGGTATTTTTACATGTTGTTGTTCACCGTTTGAATTTGTGGTTAAAGTGTGTTCCATATTATATGTGTGATTATAAAGTTATGTGCCTAATCTGTACCATTAATATTGGTGAGTAAAGGGGTGTATGGATTTTATAACCATTATTTTATTAGCGGCCGTTGTATCTAACCACAACGGGCTCTGTTACTATCTATTAAATAAATGAATTAGACTAACACTTTGACTAACCTATTTTTGGAGCAAAGCCGAACTATTGTTCCATCTGCTTTATTCCTCTTGAAGTTGAACGCGAATCCTTGATAAAAAGCTCGTGGCTTTCCGCGAATTGTTGTTGCTATTTCCATTCCACAAATGGAGTGAAAAAACAACTATAACTATTAAGCAAATAAAACAAAATGTATATACTTAAATAATGCTACTGTAGCCTACAATGTAAAACTTGGTTAGAACACCACTGACTATGTCGTAACACTACAACACCGCAGATAAGAATGAGCGTTTCCGTAATGTATTTCTTTACTCCTATAGAGAGTGTTGGAATTTTTACCCATAAAAATGTGGCAGGAGAGGGTGATAGTGTGAATTATAGGTATTTCCTGGTCCATCGGCCGGTACCTCGAGGGGTGATGACCGACGGACTAGGGTTGGGGCTGATGACTCACCCAGCCAGGTATAAAGTGGTGGCAAATGACACAAATCCTAGAGTGGTGGCAAATGACACTGGTGGCAGATAACACATATTCGAGTTTACAAGCTACACGCCGGCTTTTTTACACGCATCTAGTAAAATAGCTCAATATAGTCTTTACGACACTCGTAGAAGTTTTTAAGCTACTTACTTAAGTTTTTAAGTAAATTTTCTACTCGTGTCGTAAAGACTAACTTAACGCAATCGTTGCGTAAACTACTATTACTTCTCTACAACTTTACCACAGATGAAACTTCTCTAACCAAAAAAAGGACAGTGTTAGTAGTTAAATAACTTTTTCATGTCTCGTTTCCAGTTTTTATCCAAAATGAGCTTTATAAATATTAATAAACATAACCAACCGAATATTAATTTTAAAACTATACTCTTTGTATGAAGGGATTATTTCCAAGCTCTCTACCTATTTTCAAAATTTGATCCAAATATTGTATACGGTTGTCCAAATACAGAGTAAATTTATAAGGTCTACACACTACTAACTTTGCCGATTCCGAGGCGTAACATTATTCTTGCATAGATTCTATGACAAACTACTGAAAGTTTTGTGAGTTTGTGTGTTGCTCAATCACGCATAAAAACTACTGGACGGATTGGGCTGAAATTTGGAATGATGATGGCTCATATTCCTGATTAACATTTAGACATATTCTTATCTCAAAATTCCTTTCGGACTCCGCCCCAGTGGCTCTGCAGTTCCTCTGTTATCCTTTTAAGTATTCATATTTAAAAGGAATTTAAAAAATTAGTCAGCTGTTTCAACCTTACAAGTTGGTTCTATAATATGCAATAGCATTAAAAAGTTATAAGGTTTCCCAACAGGGTGCAGCACTATTATTATTTTGTTTTTGCATATATGACAGCAGTTAATTTGAACCAAGCAGCAACAAAAAACTGTGATACTGTACACAATGAGAACTGTCAAAGTAGGATTGTTTACAGTTATGTTTATGTTTTTAATTTAATTAATAATTTGTGATATTGTGTGACTGTTTGATAATTTATTTTTTCTATTGTTTAGGTGCAGTGGTAGAACATTATGGCTATGGTAGATGTGTTATACTATATCATACCGTAAATAAAGAACCATTTTTTACCAAACTGTGTCCTCCCCCATTGTAAACGCAAAGCTTAAGTATAACTGCAATAAGCATTTTATACTTATATGCCAACCCCATACGAAGGGCGGGTACTCTGCTAGTATACATAGTTTGTTATGAATTTTAACAGATGATGTTTTTGGCCTATGTGGACCTCAAAATGTAAAGGTAAATCAGTCCCGTGTCCAGGTCTTACCTTGACCTATGGTAGTAGCTTATTAGCTTTATTATTCCCAATAATCCTTATAGTTTAATTCTTTAACCATCCACCCTTCTGAGCAAGTGTTTGAAAAGCAAAACACATACTGTATTTCACTTTTCAAAGTGAATTTAAGTAATAAATTTCCAAACAATTGTCAAACATTGGTAACTCGTCTCATCTATCAATAATCATTAGGTATTGTTGAACAATATAAGACTCGGATTTGCCTCACGGTCCAAAAAAAATGTTTAATGCTTTGAAACATATTTTATGAACTTTTATTTCCAGATGTGACCGCCTAAAGTGTTGCCATGGATGAGTTTGAAGGAACAACAGAGTTCTATGACTATACAATGGCATATTTGGATGAAGACGATGATTGTTATTTCAACTTCACAGACTATGATGATTCAGAACCAAGGTATACAACTAAAGGATATTACGGTTTATCCATTGTTACATCATCTATAAACATGAGCATAGTTATTTGTATTAAAACAAACTATAAATTAGGCTGAAACATAGAAGTGTACCTGGGGATTATAAAAAGTTTACGTAATTAAAAGATCTGAAATGGTAAAAAGGTGTTATATTTTCTTTCAAAGTCCAAGTATGTTATTTATTTAAGGGGTTCGGTACTAAAAAAGTTCAAAAATCTGGAATTTTGTTTTTTGAACTAAATTTTAATTTAGATTTTCCTCTACAAGAAACACACAGCAATTTGATGTAAGCATACATATTTCATGAAGAGAAAAACATCTTAAGTTTAATGTTCACACACACTTTCATAACCATTAATTATCTATGAATCAATTGAGTAATTAAACTTTTTTAAAGGTGTTGCATAAAGTCTAAGAGGAGCCATTACAGTTAAAAGCACCGTAACATGGTAAAATTAAATTCAAGTTATTAGAGCTATTTAAGTGAAAATAAGATTTTACCATTACCCTATTTTATGGGTTTTATGAGAAAATCACCAGTAAATATGTTTCAAGTCTCTAGCTCATTGGAACGTTAGTTTAATATTTGTACCGGACAAGAAAGCGAGCTAATAAAAACGTTTTAAAATATAAATAAATTAAAAATATGAAAAAGACCTGGAGATACTAGAGATTAGTGTCCACATACAAAATTTCATCAAAATCGGACCACGGGTGTACGTTGTGGTTGTAGCTCTGTACAGTACACATCCACACACAGATACATCCTTTTGAAAACCACTTTTTTGGGTTCAGGGGGATTTCCACCTAAAACTCAAATGTAGAAAGCACAATTGAAACCATGAATGTGAAAGGTGTGCTTATTACTCTGAGGTCCTGGAACTGCTTCTACTGGAGTGAGCTGCTCCCTCCCCTAGCAGTCTACACTCTGTCCCTACTGCTGGGAGTCACCGGCAACATTCTCATAGTGTTCACCACATGCCGCTACAGGAGGATGAAGAGTCCCACAAATGTGTTCTTGGCCAGTCTAGCAACAGCTGATCTGCTACTCATCATCATCTGTATACCTGTCAAGGTGTGTTTGTCATGTATACATTTGAATTACATGGATTACTCACTGTTAGTAGGGACAACAAAAGTAAGGATCAAAGCTACAGAATACCTGGTTCAAGCTAACTCATAGAGAATTCACCCATTCAACTTTTGCCTGAGTACCATTTATATTAATGGGTCTCTCTTACAAAGCTCCGAGATCCAGGGGAACTCCTCATATATACTAGATAAAAACCAGAATTAACCAAAACAGGATTTGAACCCTCATACCCTCAATATGGTGCTGTCTCAAGGCCAGAGGGTTAACACCTTAGACTGCTCGGCCATTGATCATATTTAACAGTCTACCACACACTATACTCGGTTCATAAACTAGGTTTTAGGGGAAGAAATCTATCCTCTCCACTTCAAACTATTCTTTAAACAGCTCAACAGCTGAGGTAACATGTAAAAATAAACATTTATTCAACCAGTCAATCAGCTGCAATATACAATAAGCAAAAATGTGGTGGGGGAACTTCCCCTCAAACCGCCTATATTATGTGAAAAGACTATAACAGCACCGGTCAAAGAAAAGCCCAATAAATTGTTTAGGCAAACATACTCCAACTTAGCAGCACATATCAGGAGTAACTTTCAGTCATTTTGTTGAGTTTTACTGAAAGTTTGCAAAAAAATCAAATAGTCGGTCTTGCATTCAATATACAGTATTGGACATTGGAAGTGGAAAGGTTCAAATAAGTTTATTCAAATTTTCTATCATTCTATCTGTAGGTAGATTAGTTAGATAGTGACCTATTATGGTAATTACCATAAGCTGTTGAGCCCCACAAGGAGTAGGAGGTAGACCTATTATTGAAGAACAATTTGGAATAGAAGGTGCGGAATAATGCAACAGGATAATAAGATAAAATATGTAAAAACTTTTACCTAACGTTTCAGCTGGCTAAGCTCTTCTCCTACACATGGACTATGGGGTTCTTCCTCTGCAAGATGGTCCATTATCTTCAAACCGTTGTTGCCGTATGTTCAGTGCTGACTCTCATGGCCATCAGCATTGAAAGGTGAGTTAAGTTTTTGTATTTGCATTTTTATATGTCACGTACGTTACCCACCAAAGGTTTTTTACACATATATTCCCATTGCATAGTCCCCTGGTTGATGGAAAAAAAGAGTTTTAATTGATTGATCCAAGTGTAAAGTGATACAGTGTTTATTCATTAGCTGCTTTGTTTGTTATTGCTAATTGATTACCTATTTGACCACAAGTTGACAGTCCAAATATCCAAACAGCTGGATTTGACCATTATTCATCTGAAAAATAGTATATTTCATCACTATACTATGAAGCGAAGCTGAGGTAGGAAAATGAGCGAGGGTTAAAAAGACACCTTTTTTTCGTGTGGTGAACTATATTTTTCGTCATATTGCATCAATAATTAACAAACTAAAACCAAACGAAATTATTTTGATGTAAGGATAACCTCTCAAAACAACTTCCAGCTTATTTTCAATTCTGCTGATGCGAATAAGCAGCTGTTTAGTAAGTGATTCAATAAGGATCGTCTATTACGATTGTGTTAGTGTACTGGTGTACATTTATACTATCGATATACGGAAAGTAAATAAAAGAAACGTTTTATAACACTTAAAACATATATTTACGCTTATACTGTTACTCACAAGACGGTAAATACAAAAAAGATGGTAAGTGGTGATCGATTTCGATTGGATACTCCACAATCATCATCAGACCCAATAGGTGAATGTCGCTATTGGGTCTGATGATGATTGGAATGCCAATAGAATTTACAATAAGGTAACAATTAACTACAATCGATTAAACAATCAATAGATAGGTACTTTCGATACATGCAATTGTTTACAATCGAAAATTTACACCCGAGTTGACAACAGCTGATTTTTACTCCCTAGGGGCTAAAACTATTTTTACTCCCTAGAGTGTAAAACTATTTTTACTCCCTAGAGCGTAAAAATTATATTTTAGACCCGCAATGCATGCATTAAAACGGCTATTTTTACTGCAGAATGACAAAAAACATATTATGTGAAGCGCTTAGGGACAACGAAGTATATGAACAAACAAAATTGGAATACTAAAATTGTGTATTTAAACTGATTTGTATGTGCATAATTAAATGATAAATTTTTCAGGTACTATGCCATTTGTCATCCAATGAAGGCCAAATACATTTGCACAATCAGTCAGGCCAAGAAAATAATTATAACAATATGGATCACATCATTCTTGCTCGCTTTGCCCAATTTAGTTGTTCAGGTCAGTATATTAGGAGCAGCAATTACTGCAACATGTTATATAATTAATCGTTTATAAATTCTATTATATTTGCTAGAAGAGGTAGTATATGTGAGTTTGTTCTTGGTGGATGCCCAAACTTTTGGTCTGATATTTTACACAAAGGTAGGATATGAAAATGGCCAAGAGTAAAGCAATCATGAAAATTAAACACTTCACAATAATTTTATATAGTAGTTTAAACAATGATGGTATTAACGTCACAAGTAGAAAATTTAAGTCTTAAAAACTTCTACGAGTGTCTTTATATCAGACTATTTCTTCGAGCTGCTTACACTACTTTACCTACAACAGTGTTTAATTACTAAAATCACTCCTCATAACTTCTAAGCGAGGTAATGTTTTCGCTTATAACCTCTCATTGCCACTGACAGTGATGCAAAGAAAAATTGTACCAAACACTAATTGCACCACTCAACAATTAAATTGGCCTGAACAGCTGATAAGTCGAAGTTCGAATCAATCTGCTAGTTTTACAAAACGGTCGTAAGTAACTATTTTTTTTTTTCAGTTCAGTTCTTAGAGAGGTTCAAGGATTGAGAGAAGAAGTAAAATTGTAATGCCTCGAACTTCAACTAATTGGCTGTTTACCAATTTAATTGTTAACGATTGATGCAATTAGTGATTGGTACAATGAGTCTTGAATGAATGTCAGTGGCATAATGAGAGGTTATAAAGGAAAGCATAACCTTTTAAAAGTGTTGAGTAATGAAAATTAGTAATTAAAAACTGGTCATAGGTAAAGTAGTGTACGCAACTCGCAAACATTTAAGGCACTCGTCAAGGCTGTACCTTAAATGTTCTACTCGTGTCACTAAAACTATCTTTACGCGATCGTCGCAAAAAACCACTAACAGTCGATTTAATTTATAAACAACGGTCACTTTGCTTGCTTCAGTTATTTGTACTAACTAGTAAATAGTACTATCAAAGGCATAACTCTTACAAAATGACTAGATGCCCACAACACCAGATTTAAAACTAAATTATGTTTCAACATATTAAAAACCTCTTTAAACTAAGAAAATGGACCCATGCACCCACTCACAGATTTGATATCCATCCACAACATTCTAGGTTCATTTGGAGGTTGGGTTCAAACTGAAGGCGTTCTACTGTTCCTTAAATTACGATGATCGACCTCAACTACAATTGTACGTGATGTACATGCTGATCCTGGTGTTCATCGTACCGTCGTCTGTCATGGTGGTCACCTACAGCACAATCTGCTGGGAGGTCTGGCGAGTGATGAAGCAGAGACATCACATGGTTAGTGGCAGAGCGTGAGTATGAAATGTTTGAGTGTCGTACAGGTTTGTGCCTAAACTGTTAATATACAGATACAGTTGGCTTGCTAAAGAAATAAATTTAAATGTCTACCTGAAAATTTAAATTTAGTATATTTGAATTTAAATGCAGTGCTCGAATTGAGGGGGGAGAACGGAGCTATAAACAAATAAATAAAAATGTCTTTATTACGCATTTCTCTGGTGCACCAGCTTTTCAGAACAACTTTTGTCACTATGCTAAATATCTTAGTCTACTATTTGACCGTTATACACTTGATAAATTTTTTAAAAACATACCTTTAAGTTTTTCTTTAAACGTTTTGCTAGATGCAACAACCTTCAGGCCGTTGGGTAGACCATTGTACAACAAGGGGCCAAAATATGAGAAGCTCTTTCTCCCAAGCTCTAGAGAAACTCTTGGGAGGTGAAGCCTCCCACCATGACGTGTCCTGCGCTGGGAAACCTCATCGCTAAGAGAAACCCTCTCGCGTAAATAGTCGGGCTTACAAAGAAACAACACTCTGTGGATCATGCAGCACATCAACAACCTGCACATGGCTTCAACGGGAAGCAGACTAGCTACTTCTCGAAAGAGAGAGAGACATATCAAATTCGTTTAGACAGAAAATGAAACGTATTGTGGAGTTTTGCAGACGTTGCAACCGAACCAATACATGTCTTCCTGAGAAATGCTGTTGCCATATGCAGGGAAACAGTAGTAAAATACTGACAATATTAATGACAGCAGGAGCTTAAGTTTTTCAGCCTCAGGCAACAAGCCTCTGAACCTCCCTCCAGGAGTTGCGGTACCTCTCTTTCAGAAAGATAGAATACTGGCATAAATAGATATTAATCACATTAAATAGGTTACAGTTCCGGCACCTCATGTTTTACAAATCGAGAACTGCTTGAATGTATGAACTGATGACACTCAAAATCCTAAACTTGGTAACATAGTCCCACACAAACGGTATTTGAAACTGTGTTGAAAGAGTCATCAGTCGAAAATACTGGAATTCGATTTGTGATGTGACTGAGGTATCCTGACTTTTCAAGGAAGGTACAGTAGACTCCCTCTTATCTGGACTCCTCGGGCCCGAGGCCATGCTGGATAACCGTTTTTCTGGTTAAACCGACGACCCTAACAACTCTTTAAAAAGGAACGTTTACTGTGATATTCGACTTAAATTTAGGACATTGTATAAAGACATGTGATCACTGGTCTTAAATCTTTCCCACGAGAACAGTCATTTCAGTACCGCCCACTTCCTGTCGATCTAGTCCGTTTAAACCAATGTGCTGATAAAAATTGTCCGGTTAGAGAGATGTCATTTCTGCCGAGTGTAGTCCGGTTAAAAGGTGTCCGGATAAGAGGGAGTCTACTGTATTCAGTTTGATTCAGTAATGCGGCTATAAGTGGGGAAAATTTGTAGAAAACAATAAAAAACAAGACCAGATTTGAAAAATGATCAAATATTTACAATAAATGTTGATTATGGTATGGACATTGTGAGTATTTCCATTTCTATCAGTTACATCATCTTTGATTTGACTCTTTTAAACTCACAGGAGATTATGACTGTTATTCGTTTTTAAATAACTCCTGTAATATTTTATTTTGCATTTGCTCTAATTCAAGCAACATGTACACTCTTTTGATCACGGTGTATAGAGGCCTTACATTTTTTACCAAAAGATTTTAAAATGAATGTAATAGTAGGAAGTTTGACTTTAAACTAAAGAAATTCCTAGTAGAAAAAGCAATTTATACTCCTTGGGGAATTTTACAATTTTAAATATTGTGAAGACAATAAGTTACTCACTGACTCTATTCATTGTACTTGTACATTTATGAATAAAGGAGATTTTGATTTGATTTGATTTGAGGTAATTTATATACAACAAAATATGTTAACTATTATTTCATCAGTAAATCAAATGAACAAAATTATTGTACAGTAGGACCTAGGACCTAAGGTGGTATTTCAATTGCATTATCAATCAATATTAATTGTTTCCATTTCAGCCAGTATAATTTACCTTTTTACAGGGTCTTGAAACCTGAAAGCATCCCTTTGGCAAATAAACATCAAAACGGAAATCAAAATGGAACTCCGGCCACTAGTCTGCCCCCACCAAATGATGACAAGGGAAATGTGAAACAGGTAATTATAAAATTTGTGACATTTACTATCAACCCAATCACTCTAGACTCTAACACGATGAGGTGTGTTATATGGATAAGGGTGGGTGCAGAATGGACTGTTGAGTTGTTACTGACTGGGATTAGATGTTTCTTTAGCCAGAACCATTTTTAAAAGGTTCAATAAGGACAACTGAGTCAAATTTTTAACTATTAAAAAATCCCGACTTTTTAAAAGAAATATTTAGCCTTCTGATTACTAATATGGTGAGCACTTACTCTATAAGAGTGTAGGCGTAATGATCGTCAATCGGTTACAATATAAGGTCAAAAGAGCCCTACAAGTCAGAGATTTTAATAGAATGGTATCAGCAATCTTACACATACTTTTTCCCTTACTTGCCAAGCTCAATAACCTTTATCTTAGCACATGGGCAAGTGGTGAGAGTAACTTTTGATACTTTTGGGAAAATAACAAACATTGGGCCAATTTGGAGAAAATTTGATTTTTTAATGGGATTATTAAAAGTAAAAATTAAAAAAAAAAATTCTAAAACACCAGGAGATACTTTGGGTTAGTACCACGAATACTAGAAAAGACCTGGTATATGGATCACAAACATAAACAAACAAATGACGTTCTTGGCCTAAAAGTAAACGTTATTTAACATTGTTTAAATGGAACTGTCTAAACCATTTAATGATATTAGTATAGGATTCGGGCCAAAAACGTAATTTTTTTATGTTTATGATCCATATCGGTATTTTTCTAGTATTCGTGGTTAGTACCCACTTACCAAATTTCGTCAAAATTGGACCACAGGTGTGGTCTGTAGCTCTGTACATATCCACACATACGAATAGGCAGACACACACAACACAGACATCACTTTGAAAACCACCGGTTATATCCACCCGGGTGTGAATTGGTAGTGCGCAGTGGTCAGTTTATGCTGGTAGTGTACGTTAGTGCATAGCAGTCAACATATTAGTTGGTTCAATGATTACTGCTGTTATAACTACCCCCAACTTCCCAAACTTAATTTAGTACACTGGTTTTTTGGGTTTCAAATAGGCCTACAGTGCTCAAGTTATTATCTGGTCGGGCCTGAGAGCTCTTCCTCACCGCGGTCTTGAAAAACATCTATTAAAACAATTTTGAAACTTACTTGGACAAAAACAACAAAACTCATTTGGAAATTGTTTGCATACTCTTTAAAATTGTTAAACAAAATTTTTTTGGATTTTCAACCATTTTTATGCTGGACTGGGAGTTTATAAAACATTGTGAATAGCAAATTGATATTTTTTATCATAATTAAGTTTTAAGTACTTACGAGATAGAAATGAAGTTCAATGCATCGTGAACATCCGCTCTTGATTTTGGCAATGGAGGAAATGTTGTGCTGCGTGCTAGCCTTATTACCTGGTTGAAACACTAAACATCTTCCTTGATCACTATTTGAATAAGAAGCATTGCAAGAAACAATTTCTTTCGGGATAAGTTTCTGAGGTCGCTCTGTAATTGCTTCGGTTGCTTTATGTTAAAATATTTCTAATAAAACCTCACAATGGATGTTAGCTGGTTTGGAATGATGATGGTTTTATTAGTTGTAGAACACATTCACTTTTATTTATTAATATACTTGATTTGCACAATATTATCACACAAGTTCCCATCATATCAAAATTTGTATTCTTCGTAAACTAACAATAGTTTGCCATATTTACTGAGCATACGTTCCATCTTCTCTTGATGAGTTCCGAAACACAACTGAGAACTTAGATACAAACCTAACGACAGTTTTTGGAACATCCAAATGGTATTTCCCATACCAATTTATTTTGCATTTTGTCAGAACATATTCCATTATCAGGAGACAAACCTAGAGCATGTTTTAGGACTAAACATGCGGTACAATATTTTCTAAACTAAATTTTTTGCGTACCTTCAGGACACATGCCATTATAATCAAACAGCCTGAATCATCTTCAGAAGGTCCAAAGGCACAGTGACTTTGGTAAACATTAAAATTTATTTATTTATACATTTCAACGGCAGAACCATTTAAAAATTATTTAACAAAAATAGCTCTACTGACTAACAAAAATAACAATAGGGTAACAATAACAATCAATATACAAAACGCACTTGAATATACATTGTGAAGTTAGCTTTTGCAAGAGACTGTCTTTTGGACTTATCACAAATTCTCCTTTGGGTTGGAATTAGCTTATTCTTATACTTTGAAGTAGCCATGATCATAGGTTGGAATCTGATTTCATGTCGTTATTCTTCCGTTAAATCTAAGTCGCCATCGGAAGAGCTGAGCCGATTTCAATTTCTGTGCTGGTCTACAATATAAACAAGTTAAAATAAGAACAATATAGCTTTCAAGGTTATTGTTAAGAGTTAAAAAAATGTTATTTTGGGATGATTTAACATTTTCCAATGATGGATATCTCCTAGGGATGGGTGTAAGAGTTGAAGGGGGATTATGCGGAAGGGAAGAGCAGAATGACCACTGCACGCTATCGGACTGTACCCTCGGGGGGGCATAAAACTAACACTCGTCAAAAACCTGACTGCTGCGTGTTACCGGTAGGTGCTCATCCACCCAAAGCTCAAACTTGTTGAAAATGTTGACAAAATATACTTTACAATACTTACAATATACAGGGTGAATTTTAAATGAGTTCCCCCCCTACTTTTTTCTACATTTCTTAAGATATCAACTTTGGACCACGTCAGATCATTGTAGTGTAGTAAGTACTTCATTTTGACTGGATAAACATTTTAGGCCGCCATCTTGGATCCGCCATATTGTATACAAAATTTTTTTTTCAAATGTAAAGGTAGGGTTGTGACCCATTGTTTCAAACTAAAATTTTACGCTGATTACACTGCCGCAATTAGTTTAAAAAAATCTTAATCCGTTCTAAAGTTATGAGGACTTTATTTTTAGCCAATTTTAACATTGTGCATTTACAAACTAAGACCGTAATCTCAAAATAGTGCTAGATAAAGATAAGTATACACCACCATTCATTGTCGACCTATTATCACTTGGTTATGACGGATGAATTTTTTTGGCCGCCATCTTGGATCTGCCATTTTGAAATGTGATAAATTAATTTAAATATGAAGGTGGTGTTGTGACCCATCATTTCAGACTACTTTTTTATGCTGAATTTAATGCCACAATCCATTTTGCATTTTCATATTTGTTTTTTGAAATATTGGAAATTTAAGCAAGATAATTTTAATATTTCATCAAGAAAGCCTGAGAAACAAAAACGGATTGCGGCATTGAGTTGAGCATAAAAAAGTAGTTCAAAATTATGGGTCACAACACCACCTTCATATTTAAATTAATTTATCACATCTCAAAATGGCAGACCCAAGATGGCGGCCGAAAAAAATTAATCCGTCATAACCAAGTGATAATAGGTCGACAATGAATGGTGGTGTATACTTATCTTTATCTAGCACTATTTTGAGATTATGTTCTTAGTTTGTAAATGCACAATGTTAAAATGGGCTAAAAATAAAGTTATAAAAAGTCCTCATAACTTTAGAACGGATCAAGATTTTTTTTAACTAATTGCGGCATTGTAATCAGCGTAAAATTCTAGTTTGAAACAATGGGTCACAACCCAACCTTTACATTTGAAAAAAAATTTTTGTACCTAATATGGCGGATCCAAGATGGCGGCCAAAAATGTTTATTCAGTAAAAATGAAGTACTTACTACCCTACAATGATCTGACGTGGTCCAAAGTTGTTATCTTAAGAAATGTAGAAAAAAGTAGGGGGGGAACTCATTTAAAATTCACCCTGTATACAATACTTTCTCCATATACTTATACTAGTACAAGAAAGGGTTCCCAGGTTAAAAAAATGAAATAATTATAATCAAACAACCTAAAAATGTTACATGTAACCATTACCATAATTGTAATTTTTTACATTATGTCTAAAAGGTTATCAAGATGTTAATACTTATCGTCGTTGTATTCATTACTTGCTGGGCTCCAATATTGATATGGGATACTCTGACTGCCTTCCACACCATACCTGAATATGCTACAGGAACTTTGAAACATCTGAAGACAACATTCCATCTCATGTCGTACGCTAACAGGTATAGGTTTTCTGTGTATACTTAAAGTGTGAATATACAAATTATTTGAAAACTTGGTTTTTAACTTCTTGGCAGAAAATGTTTTTAAAAGACTTAGAAATGTTTTTCAATGATTAGATTTAGCTTAAACGAGTACTTCAATATATGTTACATTTTCATTCTAAGCATATCTTCCACATTTATTGCAGGAAAATTCGTAATCAAGAATCAAGAAGTTTATTCACCATTAAGTAATACATGATTACAATAGGCTTCATCAGTTATTCATTGAAAGACAGTACCAAGATAAAAATAATAACAATAAAATAATAAATAATATCAATAATAAAATCAATAATCAAAAATCAAAACAATAAAAAAAATTAATAAAATAAATAATCAATCCTGGTAAACACAGCTTTACAATGATGTGTCCCAATGTAATAACTATCAAAATTATAATTTTTTACCAAACTTTTTATTTTTTTGTAATATTGTTTGGCTTGTAGATCCAAAAAATCAAATGGCAACATATGTCAAATGGGATATCAATTTAATTAAGCGTCTTGTTTAAGATTAACAACTTTCCAATTCACACCTAATCTCTTTTAGTATTTGAGTAAAGATAAAAAATTATATCTTAGCCAATGGGGGACAAAAATAAAAATATTTCAATGTACACACAGCCAATTGATTGTTCTAGGCACATGTTGAGTACTGTTAACACTTGAATTATAGGGAACATCAAAATGGAAATTGGTATTTTAAAGTTTCTAACTACCGAGATTACTACAGTAAATTATCAAAACAATGAAGTACGCTTACATTGTTGATTGATGTAACAAGACTTCATATTTTTATGATTCAACATCAACGGTATTCAACCAATTTGATTACAATGCAAATTTAAAATCATGAATTTAAATGAGAGGTGACTAAATTTACCATGTTGTAACCAAAATGTTGTGATTCTTACAGCTGTATCAATCCCATAATTTATGGCTTCATGTCCAAAAACTTCCGAGAGAGTTTTCAGAAGGCATTGAGCAGATGTTGTGGCCGCAGCTTACAACGGCAGCTCTCCTTGTCTCAGACTAGAGGGACTTCTATCCGTAAGGACCGATCCACCGTCAGTACTCAGTTTACCAGCTGATGCATTATTATTACACTTGTCAGTAACTACACATTTCATTGGTCTTCAATTCTGTTGAGAATGCATTACTATTGTGACAAATGTGCAGGGAATAAGCTAGACCTTTTTGTAATGTAGAATAGAAAAGATTCATTAACCAGTAGGTTTTCATCATATCCATAATATGGATTCATAATTTTCAAACAAAGTATGAGATTCATATAAATAATTTATGACTTTCAGTACTCAAGTAACTCTAATCTATATATGCAAAAGGCAAAGCCCTCACTGACTCACTCACTCATCACTAATTCTCTTACTTCCCATTTAGCTAGGAGGCTGACATTTGGTACACTGATTCTTTAGGCATTAAATAGGAAAACTAAGCTGTTTTTATTCTGATCGGACTCTCGGGCTCCGCCCCAGTGGCTCTGGAGTTTCCCAAATTAAACCTTATGATTTTTCATATTTAAAATGAATTAATGAATCTTAACAGCTGTTTCAATTAAAGAAGTTGGTTCTGTTCTATATGATGTTCAATAGCATTAAAGTTACGAGAATTACCAACAGGGTGCAACACTATTATTTATTTTTACATTTATGACAACAGCTAATTTGCAACCAAAAGGTGAGTGAGCGTAGCGAACGAACTTTAACTTGGAGGCGAGTCAGCGTAGCGAACGAGCTAACCTGAAGGCAAGTGAGCGCAGCGAACGAGCTCCAACCTAAACCAGGCCGTGATTGAGCCATGCGAACGAGCTCACTTATGAAGTTAAACGGGGCAAAGCCCGCGGGTACAGCTAGTATATTATGTATACATATATGGAACTTCTTACATTATTTTTTACATTTTGATTGAAGCTCTTGAATCTCTTATACCTACTTAATACTTTTCGATGAAATGGCGACCGTACAAAGTAGGAATTTTAAGCCGAGTATGAATGGAGATGAGTGTAGGATGAGTAACTAGTCTCTTGTGAGTGTCTCTTGATGAATAGTGATCTTGTAGTCTTGTTAGTGACTAAGGCCAACTTATTCCTTAGACACAGCTGTTAATTAATAGCCCATACAGCTAATGCCAAGTAAGGGACCTAGGGACTTACAGTTTATAGTGTCATAACTTAGTCTTAACTGTGTCATATTATTTTAAACCTTTTTTAGTTCATATTTATTATTTTACTTTTAAGTAAGGTTTTGTATCCTAGGTAGCCTAAACAAGTGTTCACAGTCTGAGTTAACAAAAACTTACTATTATCAAGTTAAACAGTTCAATTTTGTTTCTAAATTAAATGGTAGTAGCGAAACCATTTTTAAGGCATTTTCAAAGAACCAACATTGTCTCTTTTGCATACTGACCAACGGAACGGGCAAAGAACAGGTATAGCTGCTGGTTTATTTTATAAATATGACCTGCTACTACTGCGATGATTGTCTGATGTCACTTCCAAGCAAAAACGATGCCCGAGTATTATTTATATTTTTATGACATTTGAACAATCAATGTATTATTATTGTACTCAATTATAAGTGAAGTTTGTTGAGTATTTTCAGTAAATTGAGACTATTTTATACAAATGTGTTTATTTTTCTACCTGCCTTAGTAGTTCCTTGTGATGTCATTTTTATATCACCAGAACCTTTTTTGTCTCACCAGAAGATCTTGATTCATTTGTTTATGTTTATTAATCATACGAGTACCGTTCTAGTAGCCTCTGTTCAAAACCAAACAGCTGTGGTGTGTGATAATTTGTATCTTGATGAAAAGTATTGTTCAACACTTGCCACAAAAGTGATATTTAGGTGTTTTCATAAGGTTGTTTGTTATAACCACAATCAAACACGGTTGTTATAAAAATAACTTTGATATAATTTAGAATTTAATAAAGCTAATTACAATTTGATTGCATAACAACTTAATATTTTTAACTAGTTTTACAAGCTCTTTGTGCTTTATTAGTAAAAAAAAAAGATAAGACATAATGAGCCTGCTTTTAAATAAGATACACAATGACCAAATATAACAACAAAACCACTAAAAAAATATGAGGATTTGTCATAAAACTAAATACTGAGACAAATGGCAAATTTTACAAAACTCTAAGATTGGTGCTGATTATTTTTACCCTGATGTTACCTAAAAATTCAAATGAGCCTTACACACAGGACAAATTGCATCTATTTTAGCGGATTTCCCATATAGAAAATAAGTTATTTATTATCTGATTACTGTCTGTTAAAGAAAAAAATTAGTTTTTATAAATTAGAAGCATAGGAGACAGTGTGGGTAGAGCCAATAAAAAAGAGGCAGAATAGTTTATGAGAAACACCACCATCTAATTCTGTAGCTTAGGTAAGACGGTGATAGGTTGTTTGAATATACTGAAAACTGAATATACTTGAATATACTGAATATACTTTAAAACTGTAGCATGACTCATCTGAGCGGCAATTTGACAAAAATTGGTCTGGACTTGAAATCATGAGCCACCACGTTGCGATCATGCGTCTGAACTTGCTCAACACTCAAATGTATTGTTAATAAGAATAACATGGGAATTTAAAAATTTAGTTTTTTGGAATTTTTACCTTAATTATTAATAGTGCATGGCAATGATTTAATATATACTTATTTATTTGTTTTTTGAGCTCTACAAAGTAGTTTAGAAAGAAATTGCAATTTCTTATAAATTGCAATTGTTTTTAGGGTCAAAAATGGGAAAAACCCATTTTTACCCCCATAAACCCCTGTTCCCATAGTCCGATCATGCTGGTTTGCAAACTCGTTCGAATAAATGTAGGTTTGCATGTTTATACCAAATTTCATAAAAATTGGATAATTTTTGCTCGAGTGATTGTGCTAACGGACAAATATATAAATAGGCCTATATAACTTAGGTCTATACATATATGAATTTTAATGGCTGGTGTTTTTAGCATCTGGGGACCTCAAAACGAAAAAAGTAAATCGGTCTCAGGTACAGGTCTTACCATGAGACCTACGGTAATAGCTTATTCCTTATAAGTGAAATTCGCTAAAAGTAAACTAATATTACATATCACAGATAATACTTTACTGCCAATCACAGTTGTTATGGTTCAAACATATTTTAGTTTTGGTTGATTTTTTATATCATAGTTATGGACTTATTTCTAGTTATCACAGTCAGTGATTTGTTTTGGTCTTTCAACTAGGTTTTTCATTCATTACTCTTTCAAGAAACTCTGTAATGACTGGTTCTACCGATTTTGCGTTGTTCAGGTGGTTATGATGTGTGCCTTCTATGGTGACTAGTTTGAATGATTTTGCATCGTTTTCAATAGTTTTCAAATAACTCGGTGAATCTTTTAAAGGAGCATCAAAAAACTTTCCGTCTGTGAATCTTATCGCTAACAAATGACACTTGACATTGGAAGCAATTGCTAACGACTGTCGTTCGTCAAAATATGACAAATTCCAAATCTTCACCCTAGGGTCACGAGTGAGAGAGTATTTTCCTGACACTGGGTCTAACTGTGCTCCCCTTTTTAGAAGAATTTTAACCGCCTCACTTGTCAATGATCCTTTTGTCCCGGCAATCCAGCGTTTCTCAATCTCCTCTAAAGAGTACATTTTATTTTTCTCAGCACTTCTTGTCATCTTGATTATGGTCGAATCAATGTTGTCTCCAAGTTTTGAGTAGAACTTTTTGCTTGGAGCTAGCGGTTTAATCACATCGATCGCAACAAGGGCATTCACACTTTCAGGATAGATAGCCGAGAATACAACTCCAATTACAGCACCCTTGGAGTGCGCTAGAATGTTCATGGGATCAGTCCAATTATAATATTTTTGTATTCTTTTGCACATTATTAGATAGTTTGCAAAGTTATACAACATTCCCTCAGGAAAGTGAGAGGACAGCCCGTGTCCTGGATCATCAACTGCCAGGACTGAGAAGGATTCAGGTAGCAACTCCAGCAGAGGATCAAACGTGCCTGCGTTGTCCTGCCACCCATGTAAAGCTAGGATTGGCTGCTTGCTGGTGTCTCCCCACCACTTGCCTAAAAAACACAATTTTATAAGATGGTTGTCTGCAAATTAAGATCTTCAACAAGCACTTGTCGTGGCCAAGTGATCTTGTTAAAATCTGCCAGTGCTGTATTCTTTAGGCTACTTCAACTACTATTACAGTTCTTGTAGCTGTGGGCAACATAGTCCCGCTCCTCCCTCCCTGTGACGTCACTGTGAGGAAAGTCGGGCCTACAGTCTTATGCGGCCAGCGAAAATCTCGCTCTTCCTAATAATGTACGATATTTTTGAAGTTGACATTTTGAAGTTCAAAAACCTTTTTAGCCTAAATCCTTTTAATTTATCATAAAAAAATCAATTAACCATAACTAAAGTAATTTTTATACCTTCAGACTTCATGATTAATGCAGATTACAACGATACAAGTTTCAGATAAATATTTTAATTCAATTATTGCAGGGAAGAATGTAATTGAAATGGTATGTATACAGGCGACGTTGGTTTGATCTATGCATTCTTAAGCTACGTTTCTCAAACAGCCTGTTTGTGCCCGCCGACTGTGCAACAAAACATGTGCCCGAGTTGCTGACACATGTGCCCAGTTGGACAACTCACGCATGCGCAGGTCTGCCAAACAACTACTATTGCCATATATTTTAAAGTTTTATAAGCCAAAAAGGACTTCTATTTCACAAAATATCATCCAAACTCACAAAAAAGGCACATCTAGGATACCGGTAATACTTTTAATTTAATACCAAATGTGTCTAGAAAGATATTGGGTTGATAAATAATTATGATACATACAAAATCAAGAAAATTATTTCATCCATCGTACTGTAGGCGAGAGTTAAGAAGTCCTCTTAGTCCTGGCCTATTCTAAAAATGCAGGCACTTGGTACTCGACGACAAGGCGCGCTGGGCGGGTTACTCATGTTCCAGGTGGCAGTCAGGGCTCCCATCCACTGCGTTAAAACCAAAAGAGCACCTGCAAATACTGCGCGGCAACATACAAACATTGCTGCATATTCCTCTGGCTCAGAGGACTTCATAACTCTCGCCTAAAGTTGGAAGCCTGTAGATGGATAGATTTATTCAAGGTTGTGTAGATATTTGTTGGATTGATTCTTATCTGAATGTAGCTCTTAAAAAACTACAGCAATGGCTTTGCTTGTAAAACAGGTATGATATCGTTGATTGAGATCTCCTGTGAAGGTAGGCCTACATCAATGAACTGTTGCTATTGCCCGTTGCTAAAAATCATAGTGGTAGCTAAAATGTTGCCATGAGGAATAGGTTTTAGACAATCACCGTTTTTTTCAATTCCTGTACATTCTGCTCTAACAAGAATTCAAACGCATAGAAAGATATAAGGAGCAAATTTTCGAAGCCACTGTCAGCGATAATCTCTCATCAATGAGTTAAAGGCGCCTTTCAAAGGTATTCAAGCAAAAAAATCTTATCGAACAGATGTTGATAAGATAAGAACTGCCTAGATAGGCAGTTTTTGTACTTTTCTTCTAAATTAAGTGTATACACCAGCCATAATTAAAGAAGCAGAGGTTGCTATGTCATCCATGGTGATTTGTAGCACACATAATCAAAATAAAATACCGAAACTTATTATTACATCACAAAAAGGCAAGTAACTGATATTGTGTGCAGGCCTAGTCGCTGGACTTGTGTTCCATGTGTCTGGAATGGAAACGGCATGACAAATTATGCGCGACATGTGCCTCTACATGTGCCGCAATATGTGCGACTTGTAGTAATGGAAACGTAGCTTTACGGTCACGTTACACACATATGGTAGTGGAACCACTTTGCTTGTCAACATGAGCCATCCCATGTATTCTATAGCCATGGGTATATACTGCATAAGGAAACTACTATGCCTTAGAATGCTAGTTCATAGATCGGTCTAAATGGTGTTTCAGCATATGCCAGGCACGGCACTTAACCAGCTCTTAATGTTGAGCTATGCTTACATAAACATATAAGAGAAGTTTTTTTTTAATAAAGACTTCTGCTTCTGATATATCAGCCACTTGAGTTAGGCCAATATTTTATTTTAACTGGCTGGGCAGCTAAGAGGTTCAAGTTCTCACCTAACAATCAAAGGGTCGCCGGTTCGATCCTAAGAAAAGTCAGTAGGCCTAGCTTTTTGATGGTTCAAAATGGACCCAGATATCCCTAGGGGGCTTTAAATAAATTATCATGACAAATGAAACGGCTGATCTTACTCAGTAAGAAAGCTACACAGATCATATCACACCATTCTAAACTGATCCTTCACTCAAATCTGGGTAAAATACATACCTAGGTGGCGTCCCCACCTCAATTGATAATGATTTAAAAAATTATAAGTTTTTTGAAAGAGTTTTAGTGTCGTCGAATACATAAAAATCTGTCTCACCTGCAATGTGGCCCCATGGAACAGGAATCTGTACCTCTTTCACATTATTGGGATTTATGTTAAGCGTAACTGTTTGATGAATTCTTCTACAAGATTGGTTGTATATTTGAAGACCAAATCTAACTAGTTTAGAGGACCTAAAACAAATAAAAAAACTGTATGTTGTAAAGTTAAATACAGTGGTCTTAATTGTAAAGTATTCTTTACAAATTTCTGTTGTTTCAATCTGGATTAAACCCTCGTTTAGGTCATAAGACTTGTGAGAATAAGCCCCCATATAGCCATAAATACCAATAAATCATAGGCTATATTTTATGCTCATTTAAAAAAAAAAAAAAAAAACTATGCTAACGTAAAACCATGGTACAGTACCACCCCAATATATGGTTAGGCTACTTTGTGTATTTTTTGGCAATAAAAAGTCGTGATTATGATTAAGTTCTGTTCGTCTCTTCAAAATTCCATTATTTTTTTAAGGTTCCTTCTTCTCTTCATCAACAAGAAATATAAAAAAAGCATGATAGAGAATCGATAGAGTGCAGAGATCACTTACTTTACAAAGTGGTTTAGTACCGTAACTTACCATAGCTAACTTACACACTTAGTTACAAAAATCTTAACTTACCTACCTACACAAAAAATAAGTTAGGCTATTAGAGAATTTTATCAATGTTTTTATTAAGGTAGGCTAACATAAATTTATCAATGGTAACATAGATCATACAACTCTGCATTTGCAATGGTGAGTTCCGAGTCTCGCTTATTGAATCAGCATCTGGTGGTCTATAAGTTAATCTTAAGATCCACGGCTCCTTTTACCATTGGATTGGACTCTTATTACCCTCTAACATTGTCTTTTATTGCTGACATTATTACCGTGGCGGAACATGGGCGGTTTACTAGTACCGTAAGTTACTAAAAGGTGGTAATGAAGGACCAGAACAAAAATATAAACTCAAAATACGTGTACATTAGGCTTAAGTTAAAGAGCTTAAAAACTTTGATTGCAGTGTCGTTCATTGGCCTGCTCATTACTTAGTTATCTTTTTTTATTTGTAGGCTAGTAACAGTCAAATGATAGGCAGTCAGTTAATAACTAAACTAGGCTAGGCCTAGGTCTAAATAAGTATAGCCCCTATAATTACCATAATTACCATAATTACCATCCTCTTGACCGATGACCATTTCTGGATAGGTCGCGTCAGTAATGATACAAATATCATAAAACTTACAAATAAAAAATACTTCAACATATAAATAAATAAATTAACTTGAGTGTCAGGCGGCATAAAAAATATTAAAAAACTAACTGGGCTTTGAAGTAATCCTCCAAGGAATAAAAACTCTGTTGGCAACACCACGACTTAGAATATATACCTATTCTAAGTTAATACTATTATTTTTTTCTTATAGTTAAACCCAGACTGACCTTGATTCCATTGGATAACCTATTTTTTCAAACAAATATTAAGTAACTAATAAGAAACAAACATTATTTTAATGAAATTAAGTTGAGATATTCTACTTAAAGTTAATTTGTATATGGATTCGGTTATTATATTTGCTCCCTATGAAGTTAACCTCACTTTACACTTTACAGTTGGTAATTTACCACACAAATTACTGTAAAAATACACACACAAATTAACCTCATTCAAATCAAATTCATCACTACTACTACAACAAGTAAGTTACAAAACAAAACAGACAGACAGGCAGACGAGGCGACAGACGACAAGATTACAACACTGAGCTACAAGATACGAATGAATCAGCAGTTCACTTTCAGGGTTTTTTTTATAGCAGCATAGGCTAGCAACAATTACGTCCATGAGTGGGTAGAATCAGAACATAAATTGTGTATGTATGAAAGTTATGAAAACTAGGTACTAGCATTGACTATATATCTACATTGTGTGTAGATATATAGTCAATGGTACCAGCCAATTTAGCTTATTTTACACCGTCTCTCTTTTTATTTTCATACCGCCTCTCTTTGATTGTTATTAAAATTTAAGACTACTTATTATACTCCTTATAAACATTGAAATATAAATGGTTGGATTTTTTTAGACCCAATTTTAAGGGAGAGATGACGAAGAATGGAACGAGATGCCGTGGTGTCTACAGTATATTCATAGATACTACTCCCTTAGTAGATTACTCATGCTAATGGAACAGCTGAAGACAATTTTATTGTTAGTTCTGTACGGTTTATGTAGATGTCGTGTTTTGTTTACAATTTGTTTCCCTACAGTCATTTAAAACCTCGTTTAGCCAAATAATACGATCATAAACAATAAATTGTCCCCTAGTTATTTAACCAAACAGTAAAGCACAAATCAAGAAATTAACCCTAATAATAGAAACAAAATTTCGTCGACACTAGCGCCCAGCGTGGCGTACATGAACTAGACATGAAAAACGAGCTTCAAAATTTACAATGGGATGAGAAGTCTACTTGTGTTGGGTAGTCTATGGTATATTGTTCTATACTATTATAAAACAAACTGGATTGCTACTAAGTAAACTGTACCGGCTCACCCCTTGCTTTGCTGGATACGTAGTCAGTGTGGATCTATAGCCTATGTGGACGGGCAAATGCAAGGTTCAAGCCAAGCCACCTTCTGATGAGGATAAGATCTTTGTATGTGACGTTTTATTTACTTAATGTTTAAAATTAAAATTGATCAGTATAATTGATTAAAATACTCTGAAACCGTCCACCACTTTTCTGTAAGGACACTGCCTTTTCGTATGGCAGTAAACGGGTTATAACACAGTTATGTACAATTTATATCTTAGCAGTTTTTTTATTACATTTTCATTGGATAGCATGAAGGTTCTTACCAAGATAAATTATATTTATAAATTAAAATATCTTCTATAATATGTGTCAAAATTTAATAGTATTTGTGATCTTAATCCTCACGACGGAACTACCAACTTATATACGCAGTCGCATGTATTAAAAAACTATTCTGGCACTACACTACCACCAAATATAACTACAATATATAGCTCTTTGTAAATATTATGCCCGCCATAAAAACTGCTGACTGTCAAAAAATTAAATGAATAAAAGTTTAGGAAATACATTGCTTGAAATATTTACAGCATACGCTATGCTTAGTATACCAGGTAGGCCACCAGGGGCGCTCGCAGGATTATGAACAAGGGGGGGGGGGTGCAATATATTTGTACATCCAACAAACATCTAGGGGGTCCGGGACCTTCCCCGGGTAAATTTATGAAAAATTAGTGTTTTAAAACTTATTTTTACGATATGTTGCAACACATAGAACCAAACAAAACAAAATAGTATATATTGTTCATCGAGGAGGGTAAGTCCACAAGCTAAACAATTATGAAGAAAAATAAATTTAGAGTTGGATAAAGCCTAGATGACAGCCAAGAAAGTTGATGTTTTGTTTTCTGAATAGTTTTGGTAAAGTATAAAAGAATGGTACATCTGTGAGTCAACTACTTATTTGATTTAAACAGCAATTTAAAACATTTTTTATAAACTACTATTACGAACGTACTTTTATAATTTTTAAAAAATCCACTTTTGTATAATAAAAGTGATTACAGAACATTATGGGTATAACATTTATTTCTTATTTTTTAGCCAGGACGTGCAAGTGCACCCCTTGCACCCCCCTGTGGGCGCCCATGTAGGCTACTATTTGACATAGTTGTTGCATGCGGTTCCGAATACACATTGAGAATTTCCCTGATTTTAGGGAATTTTAAGTTGAAAATACATCAGTTGGCCATACTGCGAAGCTGCTGTAGTTAGATAGGTAGCCGTCGTCTGTCGAGGTGAACCAAAAGTAGAAACCGCGCTGCCTTGTACGCGCCGGGAACTCATATTTGAAGTGACGAGATGTTGACGTTATCGATGTTATCATCTTAATATTTTCAGTAATATTGGTGATGTGAAGGTCTCCTTCATTGGTGAAATTAATCGATCTGTAAGTAAACTTATATTGCTACTATTACGACTGTATGTTTGTATTCACGACGTTATTATACACGTAAAACTAGTTTTTAAAAAGGAAGGCACTTAATCATATAATGTCAAAAATATAAAGTAAATAAAACGTAGCATATTGCTTTTAATTCAGAACAAGGTCTGAAATTCACTATCGATCGTTTTGATTAAAGTCATAACTGATTCAAAAAGATCGATGGTTAATTTAAACCAATAGTGTGTCAATAAATTGCTTCAACTAGGAAAAACTAGGAACTTATAGGCCTAACTACAAGATGATGGAAAGTTTTTTTTTTACTGTTTTACTGTATTTTTTAATTTCATGTTATGTTTTGATAAACTTTACCTCTGTGACTTCATTGATGGAATTAGTCTATACAGTAGCTATTATTACCTTTTATATTACTGAAGTCTTGGAATTGAACAGATAATGTTTGTGTTTTAATACACCAATGTTTTACATGCAAACTGACTACAAAAATTCTGAAGTGCAGGGGAAAATGTTCTCACGTGTAAAGAGAAAATAACGGTGTAAATTAATTGATATACGTTGGGTTGTTTATGTATGAACATCTCCATAAATATTAGCATTTTTTGTACTTTAATTAATATAAAACAGTAGGCCTAATTGTGTGTGTGGGTATCTCGCACCAGCAAACCTAGGTACTAATAAAGTATTACGCTATTTATAATGCGCGTATGTTTAAAGTGTTAAAGTGTATACTGTACTTGATTTTTTATGAACATAAATTACAATTATCAACTTTTACGTTGACTTAAATTGTAAGCTTACCTTTTCCCATCCATGGGCAGTTTGTTTGTTAAAAATTAACCCTTTAAACTGGAATAGGACTGTTATATAAATTGTGAATATTTCCATTAGTTAATAATCTTTTAGTTGGCTCTTTTAAAATCATCGGAAATTATGACTGTTATTAGTTTTTTAACAAGTTATTTGTTAACTCCTGTACTTCTTTGCAATTGCTCGATTTCGAGCAACATGTACACTAGTAATAATAAATTGGTACAATCTGTAAATGGATTGTAAAGAAGTGTTTCGCTACTAAGAAAATAGCACATTTTACATCCGTTAATTGTATCGCTATGTCATGAGGCCTATCCGATTTACATTTCTGCCTCTGTATTTTTACTCGAACTTAATTTCTCTTTTACGACTTTTTAAATACCACAAAACACTAGTACAAAATTTAGGAAATACATTGCTTGAAATATTTACAGTATACAAGTGATATGATATGCTGTTTTATACTTTTTCATTGAAATGGTGACCATACAAAGTAGATATTTTAAGTATGAATGGAGACTCTGATACATCCAGTATCCGGACTCTGATGTAATTTTTTTTTATTGCGTCTCCAAGTTTTCCAACAGTTCAAAATACAGTAGTAATAAGTAACGTTCTAAGTAATGTTCATCCCGCTCAAAATACTGTATGAAATGCAACTGGTGTAAACTAACACTGTCAAACATACCAACTATGAGAAGTTATTTGAATCAAATAAAGAAAAACGTTGACATGTCAAACAAGCGCGATCGAAGAAACTATCATCTAAAATGAAATCTTAACGTTAGTTTTTTGTTGTTGCTTTCTCCATGTAATAGTTCCCAATAAACATAACCCGACTGAATTTCACTCGACAACTGTAGCAATTAGAAATCGAGAAACCGCAGTTCTGCGAAAGCACAATAAAGAATCTTCCTTGACGACTCTCTGGAGATGAGATGGAGAACCGTAATGGTTGAGAGTGGTTGGGAGATTACTTGAACTCAACCGTTGAATTCGTTTCAAAGTTTGCTATAAACATATCACGAGTTATTCAGATGGATTTAAAATAAGCAAAACAAGAAGAATGAGTGACCCACAAGTCAAGAATAGTGTGAATACGCGGTTAGATTATCCAATATTTTTTCAAACAGTACTACCACAAGATAAACATGAATAATATATTGGAATTCGTTTTAAAGAGTCGTATTGAATTTTAAGAGTTTTATCATATTGACACAATGACGAAGGAGTTAAAAATAATCGGATGGCTTGTAAATAGAGTAAGATCGCCTATAATTTGACTACACAGCTTAAGATGGGGGTACTTTCCTGTTAAAGGGAACACTCATTATTATCGATGATTTTTTTCGATACAGTATATCGATAAGTTTATTTTTTGATATACTAGTAAACTCAAATTGATATATCGGCGATCGGTACGGTTCAAGTAGTGAACGTTTTTACTTTAATAAAAGAAATAGGGAACAAAAATTCTTTAATTTAATGTTATTAGATATTTTATTGTTTTAAAAACATGCATTAAGAATCAACATTGTAAAATATATGTAGCAGACTATAACAAAAACTTATCTAAACTACAAATTAAGCTATATATCTTACTTAGGCAAAAATAAAATATATATTGATTATGACTATTCTAAACTAACCTATCCTACCCAAACTTGCTGTAAAATTTCAAAATTTCGTTTAATAACAGAAAGGGCATGTGGGGAAAGAAATGTTACTGCAAGTTTGGCTAGGAACAGTTTCATTTCATAATGCATTTTGTCACTGAAATTATTGAATTGTTTGTTGATACTGAACAATATTTATCGTAGTTTTCAGCTAATAGTCTATGTTTCAATATTTGTTAAAATCTATACATCG